TTTTGACAAGTAAGTTTGATCATTGCATGTATTTTCAATATGATGATGCTAATAAGTATTTTTATTGCTCTATGTGGATTATATGCTCTTAGTTGGTTCATAACCTAAGTGAATAAGTAAGATAAAAACAAAGTTGAATGTCAGATTTGACATAAAAGATCTAGGTAAAATAAAGAGAATCTTAGGAATGAAAATTAAAAGAGATAGATTAAATTCTGCATTGTTTTTATATCAGTCTCCTTATATTGCAAATGTGTTGAACAAATTTGACTTGCATGATTGCAAACTTGTAACATTACATTTAGCTAAATAATTTTGTGTTATCTAAAAATCAAGCTCTACGTAATGAAAAGGAAATAGAATACATGAGTAAGATTCCATATTCTAATGTGATTGGATCCATTATTTATTTGATGGTTTGCACTAGACCGGATTTAGCTTTTGTTGTTAGTACTCTTAGTAGGTACATGTCTAATCCAGGTCCCGAGCATTGGGAAGCCTTAAGTTGGTTGTTTAAGTATTTTAAGGGGACTAGAGATGTAGGTCTAAAATTTGGTGTCAGCAAAGGGGTGAAACTAAAAGGTTTTTGATGAGTTTTCTACACTTATGATATTTATGCCACTTAATTCGTTATTTTATTATCCTTGAGAGAGTTTTAGAACGTTTTAATGTGTGTTTTGATGTTGTGATATAGATTGATGAAATTGAAGGACATAAATAAGAGTTGGCAAAATTGAAGAAAATGACTAAATTGTAAGAGATCCAAAATTCGGGGACTAAAGTGTAAATAATCAAAAGTTGCGTCAGACCTCAAAATGAAGATTTGAGAGTGTTTGAAGTCAATTGGATGAAGAAATAAGTCCAAAGGTATCAAATATATTCAAAGTATGATCACACATTATTTTCCAACGGAAAAAGTTATGCTCTAGATTTGTAGTCTCATATTGAGACTCATTTTTGACATAGCAAATGTTCGAGTTGGAAAATGATATCTAAAGCAAAGTTGTATCCGTTAGAGTTATCTTTCCAACGCATCTTGAATCGCCTCAATCAGACATCGGGAGAAATAATTATGNGTTTGATTGTAACCAAAACTTGAGAGTATGATTTGAATTTATTTTAGCTATTTCTACGAAATTTTTCATTCTATTTATTTGTGTTATGATTTTAATGCTTTCAATTAATTCGCCACTAATTGAATGTGTATATGCTAGTCAATTCCAGCACTCGAGCGAGAGAAATTTAGGCGTAATCATAAGATTAACACAATATAGATTTTATAGGTTTCGAAAGTATATGATCTATGAAGTTTACTTCATAAAAAAATCATGAATTTGATAATTTTTAGATTTTAATTCGAAATAAAGATATCGAAATTAATTTCTAAAATTAATTTTTATCTGACACTCAAAGAGAGGGGGGTAGAATTACATTAGGGTTCTTGCTTATAAACATGAAAAATTATTAGAGATAACTAAGTTTGTGAGAATCATATTTGATAGTTAGGTGAAATAATTCCCTAGACCTTTCCATCTTTATTAAATTCATATAATTTGTGTTCATTGAATTCGTCACCAAAACTATTGTTAGATTAGTTAACAATATTTGATTCATAACTCATTCGTCTAGATAAAATAAAAGATATATAATTATAATAATTAGTAGAAATTTGAATTACAATATATGTGGATTCGACATTCTTAACTCTATTACTATATTATAAAACTTGATACCGTACACTTGCGGCATAAATTACGGTATAGAAAACGCGTGACAATTTTGTAGATGTGGACTATACATGGGATATGGATAATAGAAAATCAACTTCCTCCTATGTGTTTACTTTATCTAACTCTTACGTTAGTTGGAAATCACAATTACAACTCATAATTGCACTATCCACGACAGAATCTGAATATATTGCTACTAGTGAAGCAATTAAAGAAGCCTTGTGGCTTAGGGGGTTTGCTTCATGAACTTTGAGTTTTGAATAATTATGTAGTAATATATCCAGATAGTCAATCTTCAATATATCTATGTAAAAATTTTGTTTTTCTCGAACCCATCAAGCACATTGATATTAGACTATATTTCATTAGAGATATAATATCACAAGAGTTAATAAGACTTGTAAAGGTACATACACAATATAACCCCTCAGGCATAGACACCAAGGTATTGTCATTAATGAAATTTAGAAGTTACAAGGTTCTAAACATCGATAGAGGTAAATAATTTTCAATTTTATATGTTCTCATTTTGGTATTGTCACTAATGAGTGATAATATTTTTTCTTAGTGGTCATTTGACATCAAAGTGATGGTTTGTAGGACAAATTGTTGTCAAACGACCCCTTGAACGATAATATTAAATCGGTATAATTTCGTAGTCGACATCGACCAATTGACTGAATTAAAATATCGACATCTCAATAAAACCCGACCCTAAAACTGTTTATGACTTAATTAGAGCCGCTCATGGCCTGTCCCTTCACTTCTTGGACGACTTATTGGTGTTGACCCATTTATTTGGTCTATCTATCGATTTTGTGCATGGCCCATTAATATACCTAAATGTTTCCTATATATTGTTGCCTCATTTGCTTTGTCATATGCGGGTGTTATTTGCTATGACCTTATTCTTGAGAAAACGGATCATTTGCTTTGTACTTCCTTACCGTGTCTTCTCCAATCAGTCTTACCTCTGTGGCTACAATCACACCTCCATTTGCGTGTCCTTTTGTGGGTATAACCAAATCAGTCGAAGTCTCAGAATAGTTGCAGGTTTTGGGTCGAGATTTGAGGGTGTCAATTGGTTGGATTGATACTGAGCCCCGAAAAACACCTTTGTGCAACGAATCTCCCGCTACATCCTTTTAGGGATGACAAAAAAGCTCGTCGGCTCCGGTAGAGCCCCATTTTGGAGGGCCGGCTAGGCTGTGTGGCCCGTAATTAATAAAAAAAAAAAAATTTAAAAGCTGCCTGCTTAGCCTGCTCAAAGCAGGCAGCTAAGAAAGAAAAAAAATAAAAATAAAATAAAAAATCGAGTCGGCTTGGCCCGAGCTCGGCTCGAACTGCTAAGGCTCGGGCCAAAGCTCTGGCCGAGCTTTATTTTTTTGGCCGGGCTCAGCTTGGGCCCAAAAAAAGCTCAAGCCGAGCCTGAGCTTTTTTTTTTTTTCGGCTCGACTCGGTTTATTGATATAGCTACACCCTTTAGACATATCTAGGGGTGGAAACCACCCAAATCGAACCAACCCGATCGGTTTGGATTTGTTTTTCTGTTGTTTTTACACGGGTTGGGTGTGATAGCTATATATGGGGTTATGTTGGGTCAAGTAGGGTTATGGGTTAACTCATGAAAATTGAATAAACCCGTCCAACTCGACCCACCCACTTAAAAAAGAAAACAGAGAAAAAGCAAAATAAATAAAATGCCTAAAAAGTTAAAACGGATCATTTGCTTTGTACTTACTTACCGTGTCTTCTCCAATCAGTCTTACCTCTGTGGCTACAATCACACCTCCATTTGCGTGTCCTTTTGTGGGTATAACCAAATCAGTCGAAGTCTCAGAATAGTTGCAGGTTTTGGGTCGAGATTTGAGGATGTCAATTGGTTGGATTGATACTGAGCCCCGAAAAACACCTTTGTGCAACGAATCTCCCGCTACACCCTTTTAGGGATGGCAAAAAAACTCGTCGACTCGGGTAGAGCCCCATTTTGGAGGGCCGGCTAGGCTGTGTGGCCCGTAATTAATAAAAAAAAAATTTAAAAGCTGCCTGCTTATCCTGCTCAAAGCAGGCAGCTAAGAAAGAAAAAAAATAAAAATAAAATAAAAAATCGAGTCGGCATGGCCAGAGCTCGGCTAGAACTGCTAAGGCTCGGGCCAAAGCTCTGGCCGAGCTTTATTTTTTTGGCCGGGTTCAGCTCGGGCCCAAAAAAATGCTCAAGTCGAGCCTGAGCTTTTTTTTTTTCGGCTCGACTCGGTTTATTGATATAGCTACACCCTTTAGACATATCTAGGGGTGGAAACCACCCAAACTGTACCAACCCGATCGGTTTGGATTGGTTTTTCTGTTGTTTTTACATGAGTTAGGTGTGATAGCTATATATGGGGTTATGTTGGGTCGAGTAGGGTTATGGGTTAACTCATGAAAATTGAATAAACCCGTCCAACTCGACCTACCCACTTAAAAAAATAAAAGAGAAAAAGCAAAAGAAATAAAATGCTTAAAAAGTAAAAGGAACCTAAAAAGTATGAGTGAATAGTGTAACTCTAACTAAGTTGGTACATTTTAGAGGAGTTTATTCTCCTTCCCACAAGAAATGTAGTATGACTTTTCTATATTATATTAAATGCACTTTATTCTTTATAGGCTTGGCTAATTAGGATTAAATAAGATAATAGATAATTTTATTTATTTATTTACTTATTATTTAATATTGTCTATTCGAATTTAGTATAATAGACAATTAGATAACTTTAATTTTTATTGACAAGTTGTCCCAAACCGACCAATTCATCCCAACTCGACCGATACTTGATTGGGTTGGATTGGGTTTCAACATTTACAAATGTTGGGCTAAGTTAAATTTTGATCAAACCGATCATGTTGTGTTAAGTTTGGGTTGAGGAAAAAACCGACCCAACCCACCCATGCCCACCTCTAGACATATCAGCAAAATACAATGGATAAAACTTTAAGCCTCCAATTGGCAAATTTATAAAACAATTTATAATGGAAGCCATGAAATATGTAAATAATAAATGAATAGTAGCTACGAATGCATGGTTTAAATTAATATTTGATTTTGACTCAATTTATAAATTGTATCCAAACGTCTGTAAATATTCTATTATCAACCTTCACCGAACAAGTTATTAATAGTGAGGTGGAAATGAGTAAACAAAACACCGTAGAACCCAACGTCATTCATGCTATACAATACACAACCTTTTGGCTACCTTCATGGTAGTCAACAATGAGTCAAAATCCTAATGCTTACCGCCGAGACTTGGCAAGTTCTTCAATGGGATATTCACGTTCGAACCCAAGATAACAATCTGAAACCAGAATCAGCTTCATACCCTGAAAAATGATAAAACTCACAATTGTAAGCAGAAAAGTAAAACATTCGAAACAAATAACAGAATCGCACTCGATTAGGAGTTAGAATCAGTTAATCACCAAGGAGGTTTGAATAGGATCACAAACTTAAGACACGCTGATAGGAGAGAAATGTTTACATGCATAGATATGAAGTAAGCAAGCTGACCAAAGAGCATAAGTTCTTCTTTTAGTGAAAATGCTCATTCATTGGTCGTAAATTTGAATGTAAAAGATGGTTTATTGTCTTAAACAACCTCATCTAGCAGCTTAAAGAGAGAACATTTATTTTATTTTGTCCTCAACGTGCTCCCTTCACGTGCAGGGTAAAAACCTAACATGTGCACAATTTAAATAAGTGGACAGCAGAGAAACTTGAACTCAGGATCCAATAGTATGCTGAACTACCAAGTCAAAAAGCTAAAGCTATCAGATATTGGACCTATTTATTAATTTTTATTTTGTCTAGAACATATTGGTTCTGTTTAGACTACTGTCCATCGAGAAAAAGGCGAAGGCATAACATACATGATTACTTTGAAGAATGAGAATGCTGACCTGGAAGTTGTTTACAGTTGATGGTATATCCATGTGCATCTGCAAAATGTCGGGGAAAGAAACTCTCTTCAAAGCATATAGTTCAGCAGTAGAGGTGTTTCCAAGGATCAACCACCAAGCTTCATCTTTTACCTGTAAACAACAGTGTCAGCTTTCTTTCGTGCTAAAAGAACAAATTAGCAAAATATTAGACATTTAACCTTTGGGAAACGCGGAACAAAAGCTCTCAATGTTCTCCTGGAGCCATTTTTCTTTTCCAATCTAATATTCAGACTCATACGCCGTTCATCACCAGCATTCCGTCTCTGGAGCTTCAACCACGCTTGAATACGAGGAAAATGCTGCAGATCCTGTGCATGAGAAAAAGTGAAGTGAAAATATCAGATATATGAAGGATAGCAAGAGAGGAAATACAAACAAGTAGACAGCTTCATGACAATGGGTCCCTCTGTCTCGTGAGTTGTGATCCATTTCCTGGATCTAAAGTTTTTTCAGGAATGGAACCAACTAGATCCATCATTCAAGAATCAAGATAAAATGTTTAGTAAGAATTTCTTAATTCCTCGTTTCAAGATCATGTCATTGATCTTACACTCATGAAAAGAATCTTCCAAGTCCAGATGTGCAGGTAGATTAGGTCCTATAGTTTTCTATTTTTGTAGTAATATAAACAATTAAAAAGCTCAGAAGGAAAAAGGATTACATAAGACTGAATGGGGAGACTAAAGGATACAAAGGCAGATAAAGGAATCAAATAAATTATTTCACTAATCAAGCAATTAACTAATACTATTCCAGTTTGAATATAGTACGTCTCTCTAAGCACTGTTAAGGTATCGTTTAGCTTTCCAATTTCATACGCCATGAAACAGATAGCACATAATTTTTTCCAGAGAGCTACAAAAAGATGCATGATTATATCCTGCTGGAAGACAGTTATGATAAGACTCGAAATCATGGACAAAAATATTAAAGCAGAAACCCACACCTCATATAATCTGGAAGAAACAGAACTCCTAGTGATATCCTGCAAAGATGTCAGGGGAAGATCCAACAATTGCAAGACATTTGAGATTCCTTTCTGATTCAATAAATTAATGAGATCATCTGTCATGCATGGCAACATCCGTAGGGGAGAATCTCTGTCATACCATAAACCCTGCAAATAAAATAAAGGAAATTTATCCCAGAGAAAATATGTACACAGGTAAAAAGGACAATCCAACTAGTTTTCAAGCTAAAATTTTAGACCTAGTAGCTCGAATCTTGCATATCAGTGTATAATGTCTACCATTTGCAAGGAATATTTGAAGCTAGTGAGAGCCAGAGGATTACCTGCATCACCATTTGCAATAGACGCATACAAGTGATGCTACTAGAGAGCCATCCGCTGTTAGCGCATACATCTATCATGGCCTGGATAATACGGATACTTTGATCCAATACTGATTTCAAGTCGGTGACATAGTCAGTGATTGGTAGCTCAATTTGGGAAAAATGTGCCTGTATTCCCATGCAAACAAATGTTTAAAAAGAACATAATATTAAAACTAGGGAACCAAACTGCATATTATACTGAGTAAAAAATTCTCATCTATCAGATCTGCAAACCATATCCGTAAAACAGCAATGAAATTTTCCTCTTCCATTTTGGGTGGGATGCAGGGTAGACAAGGACAGCACCCACCTGAAAAAGAAGATTTGCTTTCACGTGTGGATCATCAAGAAGATTCTTGTCCACCAGAAGGGGAACCTTGTTGGACAAGTCAGCATTGTAATTTTCCTACAGACCAAAAAAAGGCCAATATTAATGTATTGGAATTAGCTTCTGACAACTATTGTAAGTATGTAATAGAAGAATAAATAATTATACCCAGTAAGGAAAATAATATTCATGAAGTAATCTACTAATAGGCTTTGTTCTTCACTAAAGTTTAAAAAGTTCACCTGCTCACTATATTGAATGAAACGTATTCGCTGATAATGAAGGGATAATATTCATATTTCATAGGTAGTTGATTCTACAAATCATTGATATTTCTATTCACAAGAGAAATGCTGTCCTTTGGTCCAATATTGATGTGACAACCTCAGCTTTGTCATGGAACAGCCAAAATTTCAATAATTGAATCAAGAATTAATTGTCCAATTTCGTGAATTAGGCAATGCTTTGCAATTTCACACAAATGCATTTATCAAGTCAAACAAGAAGAAACAATGGGCTAACACGTTCAGGAATGATATCAGCACAATAATATCACAAATATCAAACCAAGGGAATGGAATAGATAAAGCATACAAATTCATTGCTGTGGAAGATTAATAATGTATTAATCATAAACTTCAATGTTACTATGGAAGATTAAATTAGGACTTACTTCATTATGCCGTACAGGAAGCTCATCATATTCAGAAGCACCAGACAATATGTGGAGGAAAACCTATGGCAAGGATACAGGAATACAGCAATAACCAATAAATATATATCTATAGCTTTGGAAAAAGAATTAACAGCGAGAAATGAAGGTAAATCAATTTTCTATTGGAACTTCACTAACTTCAAGTGATGTATCTGCTCCTATATTGGAACCAAACATTGATACAGTTGTGTATTTTAGATAATATTGAGCTGCTATTGAGCCCAACATCATGGGCTCGACCCTGTCTTCAGTAATCTTGATGCAACCACTGTCTTCCAGATCCTCAAATGTGCTTAGCACTAAGCTGATAAATAATATATTTTAGGAGATGCAGATTGTAAATATAAAAGAATAATGTACTCCAACCAGAGCTCTTCAAATTTACAGTGATGCTACCTTGACAAGTAAGAGCTTAGAGTTCCAGGATCTTTATCCTCTAATCCGTAATAAGATGGATTAACCATCTGTAAGATGAAAAATCAACACCGTTAGTCAACAGGAAAATAGGGTTATGCTACAGAAAGCATTCAATCACATTCACATTGCAGATATCCCTCAATAATCAAGAGCTTCACAATAACACACACACACACACACACAAAGGCAAATAACAAATCCTTTGGTCTGACTCTATTATGGGCATTTCAACAGGTCTTCCATCTAGCAGATAAGGCATATCTTGTCCAGGCAAAATTTTCTATTTTTGTTTTTGATGTTTTTGCATCATTACATCTTTTGGAAACAATGCACCACCCAAAGATGAACTCATGCAAAGCCATGCAATTAATGGCTAAAGGAGATTTCTATTTGTACAGTACAAGACATCAAATTTAGCATATCCTAAACCTATGCCCAGGTTCTTATTCAACTATTTCATAATAACCAGAAATGTACCAATCTGCGGAACAAATACGTCCAGGTGAGATAATATATTGCATCCTCTTTATGACAAATTGTTCCAGAAACTATCTCAGCATTGATATGATCATTCAACTGCTCTCTTAGGCTACTTTCAACTGGGAATGGCTCATAGAGAAACTGTAAAAGAAGAAAATAATTTATTGCATTTAATACGTAACAGTAAAAGAAGCCATAAAATAATATCACATAATTATAATAATGTCCAGACCTTTTTATAGAAGCTCTTTTTTGGTTCATGAACGAGAATAACAGCTTTACCGTGTTGATCATATTGTGGTCGCCCTGCTCTGCCCATCATTTGCAAAATATCTGTGATTGGAAAATCAACATACCTCTTTGCTTTTCCATCATAATATTCTGTTCCCTGAATAAAAATATACAGAAAAAAGGCAGCAGGATTACTAGCATGTGCAATGGAAAAATGCTGGTCAACTTCATTTGATAAAAGTTACGTAAAAGGCATATCATAATTCCTGTAACCCATATAGAATACTTGCCTGCTCATCTTTACTTTTACGGCCACAGACACAAATCACCCCTATGATTAATCACAATTTCTTCCTCTAGATTTTTGTAGATTTTATTGGAGTGCTTTTTGTCTTAGTTGGCAATCAAACTTGTTGGGGAATGTAAAGTAGGAAAGTGCAATATGAGAAACAACAGAAGTTGTACAGCATTTGAACAATTTTAATTTCACCCCTTCAGGATTTGGCGAAGAATAGAGTAACAACTACAGTTTGCAAGATTTTTCCTATTCTAGGGGTTAAAAGCTGTTTATAAAAATGTAGGCTCTATTGTGAATAATATATGAAATCGGATTCTAAACCATCCAATCCTCCACATAAAACTCAGCAAACAACTCCAGCCTCCAAAAGTTAATAATAATCTTAATAACCCTAATCTTCAAATCACCCTAGAAGAGATCATCAGCCTCAATTTTCTAAATGGATGTCAAACTACTCAATAAAAGTTGACACGAGATGGGGCATTTGGGAGAGACAATAAAGAAGCAAAACCTACTGATCCTAGTTACAACCATGGGAGTCTGGAAACTTTAAGGTCATGTCCTCATTAATGAATTTGATGAAGCCAGAATTAGGATAACCATACCTGTTTCTCTCCACTTCAACAGAGGCTTGTGTTGATGTTAACCCAAGTCACTCTAAGAAAGGAGACTAAAGAGTGAAGACTAAAATTTATTCTACAAAACATGGAAAATCTGGAAATTACTCTTCGTGATGCACATTCCATGATTTATACTGAAGAATCTAGGTTGGAGGTGATGATTAGAGTTAAAAATCCAAATGGTCATTGAACTTTGCACAATGTTTTCCATTGGCCATTAAACTTAAAAAACAAATTCAGATAGTCACTAAACTTATCAAATCGTTATTCCATTGGCCATTAAACTTTAGAGGTTTTTAGATGGTGATGTAGGACAATTCTATTGCAAATAGGATAAAAGTTAGATATTTACAATAAGATATCTAGTTATAATAGATTTTATCTCTTTATTCTTATTTTTTGTTTAGAATAGGATTTCTTTTCTTTATTGATTAGAATATGATTTCTAATTTCTTTTAGATTAGGATTTTAATTTATTTCCTTTTAGAATTTAGTTTCCTTATATTAATAGGATTAGAGAATAGTTTTGCTTGTAAATACAAAGACATTGTACACATTTCAACAATAATTAATTATTATTCAATGTATACAAGACATGATTGTTTAAATATTGTTTTTATTTATTATATAATTCTTATTACAAGAATTTCTAAACATTTCCCCACCAAAATTGGTATCATAGCAAGGAAATCCCATTAATCCAATGGCCGACAAAGGTACTGGTGGCAGTTGAATCACCGACGACGAACGAAGGCTCGACAAACTCGAACAACAAATGAAAGGGATCAACGAAACCCTTCACAACATTACGCTGTCTTGAAAGGAATCGCAAGCTCATGGAGAAGCAAACTAACAAGAATTTGCAAATTTTAACTGTTATGAATGTTGGTTGTTTCAATAAACATAGAACACGATAACATGTGTCTAGAAAATTTCCTCGAGTCCCAGCCAAGTTCGAATACACACAAGTTATCAATGATTCTTTTCTTCAACAAAACTCGAGGACAAGTTTTTTTCAAGTGAGAGAGATTGACGTAGGACAATCCTATTGTAAATAGGATAAAAGTTACATATTTATAATAAGATATCTAGTTATAATAAATTTTATTTTTCTATTCTTATTTCTTGTTTAGAATAGGATTTCTTTTCTTTATTGATTAGAATAGGATTTCTAATTTCTTTTAGATTAGGATTTTAATTTATTTTGTTAGATATTTATAATAAGACGTTTAGTTATATATATGTTATTTTTTAATCTTATTTCTTGTTTAGAATAAGATTTCTTTTATAATGGAATTTCTAATTTCTTTTAGATTAGGATTTTAATTTATTTCATATTAGAATTTAGTTTCCTTATATTAATAGGATTTGAATAGTTTTGCCTATAAATACAAAGGCATAGTACAATTTTCAACCACAATCAATTATTATTCAATACATCAAGACATGATTGTTTAAATATCGTTCTTATTCATTATATAATTCTTATTACAAAAATTTCTATATGCTTCCGCACCATATGGTAACCAGACTTATCGGATGACTCAATAACTCACAATTAAAAAATTCGACAGCCTGGCTGACTTGAGGAAACGAAAACACTGACATGGCACATTATTATTGTTAGTTGTTAATTATTCTACCAAGAGAGGCTTAAACACGAAGAAACCATCAGAATTTTGTGCACAAATCGTTGTCTGATTACAGTCATAGAAATAGATTTTATCTGTAAAGAAAACAATAATACACAATATTTACTAACCCAAAATATGCTATATGATATAGCATATGCTAAATTAAGTTCATTTCATTTGTATACATGAGCTTTTATCTATACAAACATAATTTTTAAGTTGACATGTCCTTGATGTAACCACATTCTTATCTTTATAAGATATATATTGTCAGTGTCCATAACCACACTAATTACAAGAGAGAGAAGACAGAAAAGGGTTATGCTAGTGATATAAATTCGTTTTTCAGTCATCTAAGCAGTGATGTAGAAGTACACTGCATACTGACCTTTATAATAACTAAATGTGCAGGAAGATTTACACCCCAAGCTAATGTACTCGTGCAAACTAATACCTGAAAGGACATAGGGATGAGATGTCATTATCAATATAATAAATTTGGACAGTTACATCCCATTCACCCAATGGAAGTGTTGATGAAGAAAAACTACCTGAATCTTGTTATTTGCAAAAAGTTCCTCTACTAGAGATCTGTCCTTATCGTTCAACCCTGCATGATGTAACCCAATACCAAACTGCAAAGTGTGCCTAAGGTTCTGGTCAGTGACCTGAGAAAGTATCATCTGAAGTGCTTCTTCTGGCATACCCAGAAAATGTCTTGGGCACTCATCTGAAGCTGCAAACTTCAATCACATAAAAGCAGAATAAATCAAGTTGCTAGCTAAGAAATTCTATGTTTTCACAACAATATAAAACCTCACCTGAATGAGGTCCAGGGCAGTAAGCCTGGTCTGGCGACGAGAAGAAACAAATATAAGAACTGGTTTTGTGGGTGAATGAGTAGATATAGCAGCATAGGTGGGCTTATTCATGCTATTCATTCTTGGGCAGTAAAACTTCCCAGGATATCCCTGTCGAGAATAATGAAATATTTCGAGTATCACTAAGGTATATCTATCTAGTTACCATAAATCCACACAGAATCCTAAAAAAACAAAAGATAAATATAGTCCAAGAAAAGGTGCAGAAAGTATAATAAAGAACATCATTAAATGTCATTCAGTAAACATAAGTCCCATAAGTGTAAATGCATCTGTAAAAATAAAACACAATTTCCCTGTTCACTTTTCTTTTCCTGTTTGTTGAACGTCGTGTTCTAAAAGCTGAAACGATCAGATAAAGAAACATGTAAATCATTTAAACATTGTCTTCAACATGCCCCCTCAAGCATACGAGGGAAATCCCTATCAAGACTTTACATGTGCATAATGCCATTTAAATTGGCGGCAGTGAGACTTGAACTCAAGACTATGTCCAACCACTTGGTCTAAAAGCTAAATGTATATCATCAAACACTCATCAACACTATTTTTCTTTTCAATTTTAAATTCTGGATAACTACAAATCTTGTCAATCTAGATTAAAGACCTTAACTTATCAATGCCCTCACCCGGTGAGATTGTGAAAACTACATATAACATATTCTCAGGTTTCTGCTCATTAACAGATAAGAAGAATAAGAACTTGATCCTTCTGACTTCAACCGAACTTTATACAACAAAATGATCTTCCTCCTTCCCTCTTTTCTTGTTAGACACCAAGTAACCTCCATACCTCTCTCTGTCCACAGGCCACCTTGCCCCTATCACCTCCCTCGTTACTTCCACAAGACACGGGGCCCCAACTTCTACAACCAAATCCTACCCCCTTCTGCCAACTTTTGCAACACCACCAGCCCCGTATCCCAACCTCTACATTACATTTGCAAAAATCAGAACTGGCAAGGAACCAATATTAGGTTTGAGAGGTGATTGTTGGAGAGTTTTCTAGTTTGAGGGTGATTGTGGCAAGATGTGATGGTTGGTGGTGGTGGCAGTGGGAGCAAGCTTCATGGCTTTGGGTTTGGTCTTTATCTTCCTTTTCCCCCCTAAAAATTGGCAAATAATATGGACAAACAAATTGGGGCGACTAGTTGGGAAATAAATTTTACCTTTTTAATCTCATCATCATCAGAAATAAACCACAAGAAATAATTGATGAAGATTCCCTAAATAAAGAACCTTCGGCTATTGTTCCTAAGATATCTTTGCCGTCTTAAATTAGCAATAAACAAAGAGAGGCTGATACAAGGACGTCATATAAGTAACTGAAATGACAAAAATATTTATAATGAAGTAGGATTTCATTAAAAGACAGCCAGAAGTTTTGCAAAGCAAATTTGAGGAAGTAACATCACTAACCTGGATATGGACTTCTAGAGGGACGGGCCTAACACTGGGCTTGAAATTAAATAGACCATTTTCTTCAACACCCAGCCAATCAGCCAAATCACTGAATCAATAAAAAGTAAGATTCAGTGTGCAAATGGACAAAACAAGACAGAGGTCTTTCATAAAACCTTTATCGTACTCGAGTTTTAACATGGCATATATAGTTCAATAAATATGCAGATGAAAGCAAAAATACAAAATTCTCTTTATCGGCTGAAACATTAGACACATAAATATATCAGGCAGTAATTCACGAGAATAACAGAGGTTAAACATTCCACATACTTTGTCTCGAATTAAAAACCCTTTTTGACCTAATAATTTCTTGATCCCACATTGCTTGGGAAAATATAAATGATCCACTTAATAAGGTGAGGGCAATCCTCCCTTAATAAGCCGATTTTATTAGGTGGAGTTAGACTCAATATTCCTAACATGGTATCAGAGCTAGGACCAATTATGCAATGTTGGGTGCCACCCAATATCGATTTGTCCACGCTGTGCGTGAGGGGGCGTATTAGAATCCCACATTACTTTGGAAAATATAAATGATCCACTTAATAAGGTGAGGGCAATCCTCCCCTAATAAGCCGTTTTTATTAGGTGGAGTTAGACCCAATATTCCTAACAGTAAGGTTTCTGACAGCAATTTATATTTTCACCCATGAAAGATTGAACCATTAGTTTCCCCAAACATTCAACTCCATTCAACCAAAACAGATCATGATGTCAGCATTAGTGGATAGTTATGACCCCTAGCAAAATCCAGTTAGTTAAACTTTGTACCACCACCAACCAAATTCGCAGGCTTACACGAGAGTCATAGCACCAAAAAGGTTTCCCAGGCACCTGCCATCACAGTGATCAACCAGAAAACGAAAAGATATCCCGAAAATAAAAAGCTACAGGCACCACTGCTAATTCCACAAACTTGTATCCAAAATCCACCAACCCAACCCCCAAATCACCAGCATTAATTGACTAACCACAGCACCAAATATACTATAATTTAAGGAGCAGTCACAAGTTCCAAAAAAGGAAACGAAAAAATTAAAAAGGGGAAAAGAAGCTCAATAAAATGCCTTCGTAACCACCAGCCTATACCCCACACCCACTATCAATCCCATTGTCCGAATTTCAAACAAAAGATCATGAACCAAAGAGAAAATAAGAAAAATCCAACAACCATCCAATCCACAGACCACTACCCCAACCCAAAACTACCACCGATATTAACTAACCAGAATCACCATAGCAACCTCACACGACGGCTTCTGTGGTGTTTTCACTGCCACCATGACCTGAAGACAAACGGTAAAATGACAAACACTAAAATAAGAGATAATTTTCTTCCACAGCCACCAGCAAATACTGTATCACCGCCACAGAACATCTAAACTACAATAGAACACATGAATCACAGGCACAGCAAGCAACCAATTTTCCTAATCATCGCCTCAATTTTCATTCAACTCGAAACCGCCCACGAGAAACGAATCAAAAAGAGTGCTAACCACAGCCAGAAGATGATAATCAGGCCAACATCCACTCATCATGCCTCAGCTCCAATAAAGTTTCTGGTGGTTGTGTTTCAATGACTGGGCTCTCAGGGGACGGAGAACTTGGTGTAGTATGTTTGTACAAAGAGAAAAAGAAGAGGAAATTAAGAAGTAACCTAAGGGTGGGGGTTAACAGATAGAATCAGGGGCTAGTGATGTATTATAGGTTCTGCTAGGCCAAGGCTGTCAGAGCCTATGCAATGATGCTCCTGGACGTTGGATCAGTTAAGATACTGTTATTGTAGTTATAGTACTGATTTTGGTCGGCAAGGGCAGCGTCACTGGATATTGATGGTGTTGACATTGATGGAGATATAGTATGCTAGTTCATACAATATAAAAAAAAAGTGCTTTAAATGAAAACAAATCAAAAGAACAGATAATCTACATACTTAAAACTGAAACATGCATAACTTACTGCGCATTTGCCAATGCCGTAGAAAGGCCAACAAACCTAATTGAGCGTTCTGTCTGTGAGGATATATATCTCATTCTGGAGACAATCACCTGATAAGAAAAGATATTGATAGAATTGCTATAATCAAAATTTTGCATACTCTAAAAGTGGATTAAAATGTTAAATTGTTGGATAAAATTGCTATTCAGTTTATCTTTATTAATTGATTCTTTGTAGTATGTTTCGATATATTAAAGCAGGTTTGATGCGAATTAGGTTAATCTTGAGATCGTTTTCCTCTCTCCAGCAAAGGTGGCTTCGTTATGCTCATCCAGCCAATTTGTTTGAGATGTCTTCTTGTTCTTCCATAGCCTTCAGTTTTCTCTTTTATTTTTTCAACTGGCCTTTGTTTTTATGGATTTGATTTTGATGCATGGCAGCCCACTNCAAGTACACTTTAATTGAAATTTATTCCTCGTGGGATGATACTCAACTCAACTCAACTCAACTCAACTCATCACAATAAGCATATGCTTGCGAAATTTATCCGAACAATAAGCATGGAGAAATCCCCTTCCGGTTTAAAGTAAAGACGATTAGACATGGACAAAATCTCATTACCATTGATGAAAGGCGACCAAAAGCGAAGTACCTTCCCCTCTAGGGTAGGAAAATTATGATCAGGATAATGTTACCTGTTCAAGATATGGAAAGAATAATATTTATGATATTTTTCAATAGTGTAGGATTATTCTCCTTAATAGTTGATTGTATAATTATTATGCAATCTTTCCTCTTAGAGTTATTTATAACCCTATAAATAGCGTCTTTTACTTTGTAATAGAAACAAATTTATTATATACAATTTATAATATTCTTCACAATTTATTAAACACGATAATTTTTGCAGTTTTACAAGTTAATACATATCTCCATCTAACCAAATTAACCTTGTTCATCTCTTTTTTGGATTGGACTTTGATTTTTTTCCCCTTTATATGATGCTTTGTGAGTATAGAGAGACATGGGAGTGCAGATCATCGCGTTTTAGTTGCTCAAGTGATGAGCTCAAGTGTGTGTCGGCACACTTCGTGAATTTCTTTTGAAAATTCTTCTTGGGGAGTGAGTTCTCGTAGTTTCTCGTCGTTTTTCGTATTATTTTCGGAGTGTTCTCGTAATATTTCGTAATATCTTTGGAGTGGCTTTGGAGAAGTTCTTTGTTGTTTTTACATTATTTGTTGTTTTTGGTCTCTCGTCGTCACTAATTTTCATAGTTGGTTGCTCTGATTTGGATTTCTTCTTAGTGAGCATAAACATTGTCACCGTCGTCAGTTCATGATTGCAAATTGATGCTTTTACCCACATCAATTTGAGGGGGATGTCAAGGAGCTTGAATAAGATTCCGAAGATCGTCGAAAATTGAATAAGATTCCGAAAATCGTCGAAAATTACGATTATATTATTATAATTGTATTAAATATAGATGGATTGTTTTTACCATTAATTAATGTTGTAATTGATTGCTTCCATATTTAATTGTTATTTTAGTCCTATTTAATGAAAGAACATCGCACAAAGAGAGACATCGAGTCTTTTATTGAGTATATTTGACATGGAGGTGGATTTAGATTGGAGGTTGAAAACAATATGTGTCCATGGTTGTAGGGGGTCGAATACGTGTGCTAGCGAGCAAGAGAAATTTATGTCAAAACGTTGTTAGTAGAAATTTAATACTGGCATTTGCATTTGTCTGTTTTGGCTAGTTCGATGGTTGCTTTGCTAAAATGGTTGGAGGTGGATTTAGCTTGGAGGTTGAAGACAATCCATTTCCATGGTTGTAGGGGGTCGTATAGGTGTGCTAGCAAGCAAGAGAAATTTATGTCATAACATTTTTAGTAGACATTTAATACTCGAAAGTTTTTGTTCAAGGGCAATTCTGGACAAATGTCTAAACAGGATAACATTTTGGCGAGGTACCCAATTTAGGGCATGGAAAAGCTATATGCGATAGGAAATAGATAGGGTATGAAATAACTTAAGCAGTCAAAGTTCATACCTCTAGAATGGGTCCACGATCAGCACCAAGTAAATGAATTTCATCCAATATCATAAGCCCGACCTACAAATTTATTTTTCAAATCCTAATTCAGGTTGAATGAATATGCATACAAGTTCAGATTCATAACATAGTTTGCAAACTTAAGAAGGGCTATTGATTGATGATGTATTCCTTTTAAGCGGAAAAGGAAATATTATCAAATAGCCAAGAAAAAATAGAAATCACCTTCTTGACATAGCTTCGACTATGCCAATTACGGCTGATGCCATCCCACTTTTCAGGAGTAGCAATTATAATGTCTGCTGATAAGAGAGCGGTCATATCCGGTGTATAATCCCCTGTCATTTCAACCTGATAACGAAGTCACTTGGTTACGCACTTGTCATAATTATGCATATATGTGAAGAAAACAGAATTTTAAGCACCATCCGTTTTCCAAGTTTAGAAACAAGATGCTTCTTCCAATCATTCATTCTTTCTCGGACAATAGCCTTCAAAGGAGCAATATAAATAACCTGCATCAGAAAATGATTTGTGTTAATATCATCAAGTACAAAGCCATCAAAGCGGAATTTTAACTGAAATACATGCACCAGGAATAGCAGTGAACAAAACTTCTGTGATTTAATGAAGGAAATGGACCCATGACCAAGTAAGGAGCCCATTGAAGTACAGCTATGCATATGGGGTGCACCAGGCGTTAGCATAGTTCCACCAATGGTTCGAAATGTATTTCTTTCGCATGTCTAATGTAGCTTAATACATCTAACATAGTAAAGTGTCTTTGATTTCATTTCTATGTTCCGTTACTATATTAGAAATCCTCAATGTAAGCAGCAGCACAACATCCATCCAAGAGAATGTAGGGTTTAGAAACAACAGGTTGTACTTGTAATAAACTTTGATATCTAAGTCCATGCAGAAAATGAGCTCAACGTATAAATTGCATTTAGATTGTTGCATTCCTTGAATTCTTGCTTACAAGATTAATGCCCTACTGGTGTATGGAACGCAAAAGGTTTGATATTACCAGGCAGTGTTAGTGTACGGTATCAAGCATTGCCAACATCTATGTATATACAATTCTCAGCCAGTGATCTGTTACAAATGATAGATCACAACATTCCAAAAGTTCTCTTCACAAAGTACGCAATGAAATATCAGCATAGTAGACCAGGAAAGGTTGATCAATTGATAGTTACAGCTCTGAAGGATCAGCAGGAAAGTTACCACAATCATTTGGGTATGTGATTGGGTCAGTAACTATCATTGATAGGCAGGCAGTAAACATATGCCTAAATCAAAGTCCACATATAAAGGTGGCTGATTGTGTGGAATAAAACGTGGAGGTTTAGATATCAATTTTTACTATGGGCAGAACCTTTGTGCTTCAATTTAATGCACATAATCATCGTCAATTATCAATAAATTGTTCATAGCCCACTTCAAAGCCATCTTTGTCGCTTCTATTGACTTGTTACAGTATTACTTCAAAGTGCACAGATTAACAGGTTTACTGAGGTTCATATAAACACAATCCCACCTTGCTTATAACTTTGTTTCTATAGCAGTAAGAAACTCTTGATAATCATCCTTACTTTATGTCATGTCCAATCTGCTGCTTGACCCCTCAAGCTCAAGCATGCATATAACTGGAATAGTTTGCAAATGCAGTAAAGCATGCCATCAGATAGAAGCATTAAATGTTTTAGGACAAGGGCATCAATGTTAATGGTATTTGAGATTTGAGAACCCCATCCATGGTTATATATACTTCTTTTTTTCTTTCCCATTTTCCCATTTCTAAAATTTTAAGGTTCCATCAAAGAAATTACAAACCCTAAAAAATAGTGAATTTGATGAATATTAGATCTTTTACACCGGCTTCGTCTTTATCAGATTTTGGCTTCATCTTCCCAAAAATCACAGTAAAAAAAAAGAAGCCTAGAAATTAGCTATTTTTCTCCTCAATTGCATTTCTTCTTTGTTTGGGTTTGTTACCATGTGACTAAGATAAAGGGGGCAATCCAATGATACTTCCTCAGATTGTACAAGAAAGACATAAGGTAAGTTATAGACAAAAAGAAGGAAAAATGATAAATGGTGGGATTTCGGATGGATTGGGACAGGAATCCAAGTTTAGATTTGGTATGAATAAAAGAAATTCCTTTGTTACACTATTCAAGTCTCGACGACAAATTGCTTTGATCCTCAAATATCGTTGATATTGATCCAATTCAAGATCATCGAGAGGTAATTCATTCATTGAATCAATCAAATTATTTAGGGAATAGCTATAAACATACCCCTATGGAAATCTTTATTAAGAGAGTCGAAATCTTGCACCAAGGGTGTCAAAAAAAAAGTGGTACTAGATTTGAAACCCAATCCACAGCATCTGACAATCCAATCTAAGCTTTTAGCTTAAGTGACCACTCATGCATGGAAATCAATAAAAAAACAAGACCATATGCACATTAAGTACAGAATCGAATATTAGAATATGCACAAGATCTCGATTATTTTACAAGGAATGCGAGGAAAATAGAAAATCTGATTTTTCAGGAAAATAAAAATTTCTTCTCTTCAATGTGTTGGGCAATACCTCCAAAGTTTGATGGGAAATATTGCCCCTGCCCTTAGTCATCCAATTTTTTCAAATTTTCTGCAATCTGAAAAGATATTTCCCATCGTTCCCCCGAATTTCCATTCAACCAAACTAGAAATTTTTCTTTTCCTCTATTTGTATTTTTTTTCCCCCATTTTCCTGGGAAACAAATGGCCTATAGGAAGCTAGAACTAACGGTTAAACACCAATATAGCATCAAAATAATTAAGATAAAAACCTTCATATCTGGCTGAGTGTTAAACAGATGGAGCATAGCAAGCTCAGCTGATATGGTTTTCCCACTTCCTGTTGGAGCTCCTAAGAGAACATTCTGGTCCGTATGATACAGAACATGAAAGGCCTGCCACAATGTATTTAATCATCAGATCAGATGCACCATACTTTGCGAGACAACTTAAAGTTACAATCTTTGCATAAATTAAGAACTAAAACCCAAATAATTTACATAAAAAGGAAGAAGAAGAAGATTGATCAAACCTGTGTCTGTATAGGATTAAAGTGCGAAAATGTATACAATGCTTCATAAGTTCCATTGCCAAGTGCAGTCACAGGAAGGGGTTTCAGATCAAGAAGTTCTGTATGTGTTGTATGTGCCTGAAGGATGTAACCTTTTAGATTAGGAACAACATTGACAAGATGAATTTGTCTGATAGCCTTCAAGGGAAAAATATGCAAAACTTTATAAGACCACCTCTGGAAGCGCAAGGTTCTGGAAAGATATGGTGTAAAAAGCCTCAGCATGCATCCACGAATCTGAAATTGCACGAATAATATATTGAGGAGGATGTGGCTCAAATATAGGCACAGTAAAGGATAGCTTTTGAGGTTCCCCATTGGTCATCCGCTTCGTCAACGTAAAGAGCTCTGAGTGGTATATGTGGTCATTCTCGGAATCCTATAAAAGCAGGATGATCAGCTATTCAGTGACTCACAAAGCACAAGGCATTGACAATAGCAAGTAAAACATTTATAATGCATCTGTGCAGACATAAATTTTCAATACACGGGCACACATATTCACTTGCAGATTGATATTCACAATAAACAGCACAAAAACTGTAATCAACTCACATTCAAACAAACAGAGAGACATGTTTAACAAAGAAGTTGCACAGAGATCATCTTCAAAGATACTTTCATTTTTTTGCTTTTGATTGATCTAAAGATGGGATAGAAGTACAGGCAACGACAAATTCTCATAGAGAGAATTTAAGAACTAGAAAAGGAACAGCTACCTAATTCCTCTGACATCAGACAGTGCAATGGAAATGCACTGGAAGCTAAAGCGCGTAGGGAGAAAAGCAAAAATGCATCCGAAAGAAGACCCATTGGCATCTGATCTCAGAAAATCCAATATTTCTTCTTTCAATCGAATATCTTTCGAAATAGCAACTGAGATTAACATTTGGCGCACTCACTCCTACCAAACCCTGAGATTTTATCTTCTAATATGGTGACTCACGAAGAAAACATGGAGGAATTGGGGCTGCACCCCACTTAGTATGCTGAGTAACCAAGGTACACTTTCAATTGGGGATGCACCCCCTTGGTGCTCTTTCGATAAAAAGCCAAGACAGAGCCCTTATCAAATGGAAAAACAACTAGTTAAATGATCTTGAAGATACAGGCCAAAGAGATTTAGATGATAATACCCAACTGGACAAAAGGTAAATAGTTTTGATATCTTTCATACTTGGAAGAAGAGAAATTTCTTATCCAAAACTAGAAAATGTTTGAATAATACGTATCAATGTAGGGCCTCTATATATAGTAGTTCACTGATTTGAAAATGACAAATCCCATCTGTGCCACCCTTGCAGCTTACGTCATCACTGGCTTAAAATTTGAATCAATGTGGAACTTCTTGTTATTTCATTGGCCACCTTGGTAAGATACGACACCGTCTAGTGGCCATAAACACAGATTACCTATGACTATTTAGTAGACAAGCATTCATGTTGTCATCACTCAATTGGCAGAAAACCTCTGCTTTGGAACGACTCACATAAATGGTTTCTTCCCCGTGCATAGCAGACTAAGAAAGATAAATGCAAAAGGAGAAAGATTGAAGTAGAAGACACCTCCAACTACTCATTCTTTTGCGTGGTCTCAAATTCTTGTGCTGATAATTTGTTTTGAAACATCCTCCTTTATTTTTCTTCTTAAAAAACTAAATCTTTCAGCTATCAGTTTCATTTGCTTGATACTCAGATAAGGATGATACATTATTTCTTGTCACTTAACCATACATAGTTTTCAAAAGTTTCAGAAGGCAGGATCCATCATATGATTTATACAAATGAGAAATGAAAAAATGAAGAAGCAAGCAAATATCAAGGCACACCTCTACTAGAATCCACCAGCGCTGGGCAGTACCATGAAACCGATCTTTCCACGAGAAATCTGGTGTAATGATCAAATCAATCTAAAAGACAAAGATAAATGAAATTTTAGAACTTCAACTACAAGGTTGTTCACCATTTCAGTAGCAAAGAACAAAGGATGTTTAATGATATCAACTTTCTATTACCTTCAGAACTGTTCTTGTGATTGGACTGACCGTAGCAAATAAGTGGAGCATTGGGAAATATCCCAAGTATTGCTTGACCAACTTCAAGTCAGAAAATACGTCGAATCAAATTTTATGGATTTCATATTAATTGATGAAAGTCATACGACAAAAGTCCTGGAACTAGATAAGTAAATGAAGCAATACCCTCCCTGCAGGTGTATAGCGAATCAAAGCTCCAATATCTTTCTCCTGCATTTCATATAGGTGATCTAAGTCCACTCTTCTTTCTTCAAGTTTCCTCAGTATCTGAAACAAATGAAAAACTCATAATTTCAACTTAAAATACGCCTGCTCTGAGAGAAAGAAAAATGAAAAGCTAGACAAACATCTGCTGAAATATCTTTGTCAAATTGTCTTAGAGGATGTTGGTGGGGCCAAATTTGACGATCCACAGCCTTGCAATATTCCAGCATGAAGGAAGACATTTCACTCCACCCTCTGCGCAAACAAATTTCAAACAAAGCTCGCATAATACGAGCCAAGCTTGCACTGACATAGGCTGCATCGGAAACTAACGAAAAGGAATCAATTGAACCTCGAGATATATACATCTGCAAGAAAAATTTAATCCATAATTATCAAAGACGGGCGCATTACTTCAAGAAGTATATGTCACATACAGATGACAATTCACAGGAACCTGAATAAGAATCGAAACTTTTCCATGTTTATTTGATGGACCACCCTTAATTTCCAATGGACATGTGCGAGCCAACATTTCCAACTCATTCTGTTCCTCCTCTCGCACCACAATATTTTCAAATTCAGAAGAATGGGCAACCATGTCAATCACCTATACAGATGTCCTCGTGTTAGTGAAATTGAGAAGTTTGAATCAAGAAATTATATTTCAAAGTAACCGCCATTCAATTCATTAAAATTCCAGTGTCTGGAACCATAAATCCCACTGTCAGAGATCATATTATAACACACTGCCATAATAGCAACCAATATTTATTATTACAAGATTGCAGTAGAGAGTTCTAGTTTCTGAATTATTTTCTTATACTTCTCACCCCAGAAGGATGTTCTTTAGAATTCCAGAGGAAGGAGGGTTCAACAATTAACAAGCTCTAAACTTCAAAGTTCGGAGAACACACTCTACCAAACTCCCATCTGTAAGTGGTCCTTTCATGACTTATTTACTCATGATAGAGAAATATAGTGGGGAGTATATAATTAAGTCTCACTGAAACAAACATTAAAGAAAATATGAAGAAAAGCAGGCAAATGTTCCACCAGATATGAAAATAAAAGTACAAAATAATTAATTATCAAAGCATTAGTTGACAAGGAAAAAAATAAGTATTGAAGCATTCATTAAAATATTTTCACCTTGCATTGCATTACACAGAAAAAGCTAGATATCAAAATCAATTACCTCGCTATCATTCATATGGCGTCTCAACATTTCATTGTAAGTTTCAACACTAGAATATTGAATATAAAAGTGGCTGGCAATACGACCAAGCTCGGTGCAATAGAAGTTGCCACTTTTCTCATCAAAACGCATCATTTTTGCCTTGTCAAGAGCACGTGCAGCATCTGATACCAGAGCTCTTTGCTTTAAGCTCAATGAAGGATCTGCAATTACCTGCCGTGACAAATAATATATTTGACAATATTAATTTAATCAAAGTGAAGGTAGTGCTAAACCACCTTATCTAAAACTTCAACTCTTAGATATGGGACAAAGTTATTCATTTAAATTTAACCCCTATTTGGTTCACCTAAAAATTGCATAAATCTAAGTCAAAATCAACAATAATTATACACATATTTCATGGGACTCGTAACTTTTCCACTACGCATTCCATCAACCAAACAAGGGCTTAGCCTTCCGCCTTCCACACGTCCCCTCACCTCTAGGTAGGATTCATTTTTTCATAAAAAAACTGACACATGCAAATTTTATGAATGAGTGACGGCAAAATATGAAATAGGATCTTTGCATGTTTTGATACCATGTTGAACAACCTCATCTAAAAGCTTGAGTGGCTAAAGATGGAACACGTTTATTTATTTGAATATAGTCATCAATGTAAAGCATAAAATTAAGAGAAGATTCCCCTAGGAAACTGAAAGCAATCGGCCATACAAGACAAGGAGCTTGGAAAAGGTAACTAATCTAGCTATAAATATGATAAAATGAGTTGGCTTACGAAGATCATTTATCAAAAACTCCACCTAAAATTCTTCCATAAAGGAACTTCAACATTTTACGCTAGACTTAATAACCAAAAAGGCCAAATTTTAATAACACAGACCTTTTGGAATAAATATTTTTATGGATGGATCCAGTTTGGACAAAAATACCCTATATATAATTTAGGTGTTGATTCCAATAGAACTAATTAGAGAAGACAGTCTAAACTAGAAGCCATATCAACATTTACAAACCCCTTTAGTCACCATTCTCGAAACCGAAACCCAGAGAGCCACAGGTCCCACCTTTCTATATATTTCAATTCTAGTCAAAAGTCAAGATTGAGTATCATATGCACTAAATGGTTACATTCTTTTTGTTTAACCATGCTCCTTTCCATAACCTTGAAAAATAATTTAATGTAAGCTTGAACCATAAATAAGCTTTCGAATTATCACTTATCAAGCATGTCTTCAAAGATAAGTGAGTGCAAAGTCTACTCAAGTAATAAAATGGTGTTGTCAAAGGACAACTTCTGAAAATCAGTATTCTAAAGAGCGGCGATTAGGTGCCCCTAGGCGAAGCTGGAGCAAAACGCCTCGCTTCTCGCTTTTTTGTTTTTATTTTTATTATTTTTTTCATGCCTAGGTGCGCCTAGCAAGTGCTCTTTTTACGGTTTTACGCCTTTCAATGCTTTTTTGCGCTTTTTTCCTTTAATAACTATTACATAATTTTTAAATTGATTTAAAAATTTAAAATAATATTAAAATAAGAAAACGTTTGTTATACTTTATCAAAAAATGGATCTGACAAATTGAGATGTTGCATACTCAGATTTCAAACAATATATTCATAAAGCTTTTGATTATCATTCATCAAGCATGTTACTGAAAATCCATGAGCGTGTGGGAGTCATTTGAAGTTAGAAAATAGTGTTGTCAAAGTAAAACTTTTTATGTGCAATCAAATTCATTTCTTGAATCTAAAATAACAAAGCTTTTCAAACAATGGATCTATTAAATAAAGATTTTTTAAACTCAGCAATTTGATTTCTTATAATCGCCTGCACAAGCACTACTTTAAAATTAAGTGATCAAATTTCAATAAGAGAGATAAAAGTAGGTGGGGAATAAAAGTGTTTAAAGACAATTGCGGAATAGTTTGATAAAGGTGATTACCATAGTTACCCTCAATTATCTTGTGTTGAATGGGAATTAAGGTCTACATGGGATAGCTTCTCCTTCAGTGTTATTTCCACTTTTTGTAGAAGAACTTCTTAAAAAAGCCACATTGAACTAACTTCCTCTAAAAACTTTTTCTAATCAGACAAAGTACTTTAAGAAAATATTCCAAACATACCCAAAAGCAACTTTTTAGTTCAAAAGTCATGTCAAATGGGGCTTAGACTACAAAGTTAGGATGCTATAACAATTTGTGTGGAGAAAACGTCTTGAGACACCAAATGGCCTACACCCAAACCCACAACCATTTTTCGCTTTCATAAACATGTCATAATCTACCATCCACTCAATCTTCATCACTTCCTTTCAAGAGAAAATGATATATTACATGCTCGACCCTATGAACCACTTTCATTGGAATCTTAAACAGACAGAAGCGATACCAAGAAATGCTAGAAAGGAGAGAACAATTTGACGTTAATGGTGACTAGGTAAATTGTTTACCTAAAAAAGGCAAGATAAGTTCCTCCCTCACAATCCAAACACAACTCATAGTTCTCTATTCGAATAAGTATTTACTTGCTCTACGAGTCTTTAATAAGTCCAGTTACAGCACCAATGAACTCTAATTAGCAATGTGTTGCATAGAAAATCTAGCTAGAACATTAATCAAGATCTTATACACACCCTTCACTAGGTTGATGATTCTGAAATCTCTATAAGTTCTTGGGAACACTTCTCTAGGAACAACAGATGTAGCCTTGTTCCCAATAAATTTGGTGTCGATACATGATTCTATTTTTGCCACTTCTTTCAATCCATTACCAGGTATACTGGAATGTAGAAACCAAGAATTTTCAATGAATCCACCTTGTGTTCATTCCAACAAGTATGAAATGTCACAGTGAAACTATTAGGCATCTTCAAACATGCCAATAACTTAACATTAATTCAAAGATTTAGTTCATCCCTGTAGTTATCAGCAGATTACAAGAATAATACAGTAAACGTGTTCAAAATAGAAGCAAAAAAAAATTACCTCATCCCATCCAATGCCATATGCCAGAGGATTCATTTTCATCCTTATGAAGAGATATGTATACCCAAGCCAAGCACAGGCCTCCTTAACATTTGTCACTGTGCCCAGTGCGACCTCTGCATTTAGGTTATCTTTTAAAGAGTTGATAAACTGCAAGTCAAGGTACAAGAACAGAAAGAAAAGTGTCAGCTACTTGATGCAACAAAAATTGAAAATATAGTTCCAAAATATTTTGCCCACATCAAAGTCAAAGTCCCCATTTTTCCGGAGAACCAAAATTAACTTGCATGCCAAAAATGCAAGATCATAACTCACTTCTGGATAAGAAAAAAAGGACTTGTGCACCGAAACAAATTTATGAAACCCATTCATGTATATATTTATGGCATAAAATGAAAAGTCTAAAGAAGTAAAATTCTAGTTTCCAAAGAAACCCAATGAGCTACTCGAATGCAGGCAGTCGTAACATCCTAAGAAGATCATGGTGTACTTTTCCAACTAATCAATTTGGTCTTCTTTCCTCCTTGATTACTCTCGATGGTGTTGAATGTTCCTAAGCACGGTATTCTCAACAAAATGTTACCCAGAATGCAGATGTATATTATTCAAAAAAGGGGATCCATAGTAGAACCTGCCACCTAGGGAAAATGTAATACACTATTGGTAGACTTTCTAAGATTAAACTGTAATAACTTTTGAAAAAAATTTAGATAATACATTGGGATTTTTTTACGATTTAAACTCCTAAGAGTTCTAAAAGTCTTCAAGGTAAAAGAGTCAATTTCCGTATGAAATTAATTTTGAAGCATCATAAAATAAGAAAGAAGAGGTATATAAAAATAGATTCAGATTACCACCAGTTGGCGATTTGCCAGGGGTGTACTGAATTTGGATTCTCTGTTTTCAACATAAAGGCAGAAAGGTGAAGAAGCGATAGTGTCAAGAAAAAGGCAAGGAACTCTAGCCCGAGATAGACCTCACAGAATATGTAGGTAGTCCAATTATACTGCAAGCAGCCTTGGCAGATCTTCTCTAGTTTTTCTTGTAAAATTTATGACATTGAGATTGAATTTTTTTCAGAGAATATATTCTTTAGGTTTTTCCTCCAAGTATTATCAATCTAAATCTACGACACATAAAGTTAGGTGTAACATTTGCACAATTAGTTTTTTGGCCATGATCATTACCCAGGGCCAGGGAGATCAATTGATGCTATTATGAAACCCTTGACAACTAATTGAATATTCTAGGGTCTTCGGATCCCCTGAATTTGGTGTTGTAACCCTATACCAATAAGCTAGAACCTCAGCAATAGCAGTATTATAGCACACTTGTCTCAGTAAAATTAGCACATAATTAAGTGAATAATTCTTCGCCCAATTTAATATATTGCCTCAGGTTACTGAAAGAGTATGATAATGAATTATAATATCTTAGATTCTTAATTCAAGGATTTATCTACCATGCAGCATCTTTTTGTACGTGAGTACACTACAGAGGGTCAAACATATGCAGATTGCACCAGCATCTCACGCCTTGTTTTTATGACAGCTTTACAGGGAAAAATGTACAAGACGATGATTGATTTACCATTTGAGTAGCTATTAGAGATAAAGAAGCTGACAGATAAGAGGTAATCAACATGAGTACAAAACAAGAGTCCTGACACGTGTCAAAAAGAACATATCTAAATAACTTCACTGCAAAAATTTACCTGACTTTCAATGGGGAGTTGACTTGTGAGGAGACGCAGATAGTAGGCTAATTTATTGTGACTCGTGATTATAATTCCTTCACCACTTTTATCAAATTGGGGCCTTCCAGCACGTCCAAATATCTATAAAAGGATTTCTACATCAGGAAACACACATAATAACATTAATGAAAGATAAAACCAAAAGCATAGCCAATTTGAACCTGCATAACATCAAGCATGCCCAAATCTCGCCACCCACCAGCTTTTGCATCATATATTTGCGTTCCCTGGACCGAAGACATGCATAAAAATCATAAAACTTTAAACAAAAGACGTAAAAACGTCATGATGGCACCTGATGTTTGATTCTAGCAGAAATGACTGAATGCAATCGGAGAAGTTAGAAGATTGAAAATTTTGGCTACAAAGTTGGGCTTGTAAATAGGTAAAGTGCCACGAATTCAAGACAAAAAATAACTAATCAATAAGACAAATATTCAAACAGAACAACCTTAATTACAACAGTGTGAGCTGGCAGATTTACTCCCCATGCCAAAGTAGCCGTGCAAACAAGAACCTAGCAGTAAAGAGAATGTGTTTAAGAGTAATATACCAATTAAAACCTAGGATCACAGAATTGGAAAGTGAGCAGCATACCCTCAAAAGTCCCTGAGAGAAAAGTCGCTCAGTCAGACCTCTGTCAGCACGTAACATCCCAGCATGATGAATGCCAACCCCGTATTCAAAAAGTTGGACAAGATTCTTATTTCTGGACTTCATTACTTCTTTCTAAATTGCATGAATAGAGTAAATTGCATAAATAGGCTTACCAGAAAAGTTGAAACAATTTATTAAATAGTAGTTCCCATAAAAGTTTTCAACAGAAATTATCTTGCCTTAACAAGTCCATGCTGAGGGTGGGACTCATTTGTGAAAAGATCAAAATCCTCATTCTTCCTGGAGATTTCCACCTGCACAGAACGTCAGCCAATGGGGTACAGAGAGGATTAATCTATATGATGACTATAAAACTATTTAAAGAAATAACTAATATACAAATAAGCATAAATCATGTTTGACAAACTTCTGGGTCAGTGGAGAATTTGGTTCCCTTACAAGTTACAGGATGCTCTTAAATTAGTACAAGTAGAACTTCCTATCCTCGTATAGAAACGTAAAGATGGCAATGGCACAATGAAGCATTGATTGCCGTACATCAAGAATTCTCCGCTATGCACATTGAAAAATTTATTCAGATGATTTAAAAAGATTTGAACTCTGTAGTCTGTATTACATTCCCTTGAATACTTCCAGAAAGAGGCAATGGCAGGAGACAGAAAACTTCCAACACATTTTTTTACCTAGAATGGATTTCACAATTTACAGGTCAAGCAGAATGATTATGCTATGTATTCTGGATCTTGATTTCACATTTATAGAGTGGTCGTACTTACAAAGGATTCATCACCACTTTTTACTTTCAAATAAAAACTAACAATAAAAAAGTCACGAATTTCTCACTTCTAAAGACAAGAAGAAGCACTAATTGAACTTGTATATCAGGCAAAAAAAAAGAACAAGTTCTTTGCAAGAATTTCCAAGGAATCATGTTCAATGTGTTACCAGTTTCTCAGCTGTTTTTACAGTGTCTTTCCGCGAATGAACAAAAACCATAACCTGATGCCCTCGCTTTAATGAATCAACAATCTGGAGAAAGAAATGCAACAACAATTGTCAATTCATCAAACCTCAAAATATTGGATATAGAGTGGATTGGCAGGACCAAATAGTACTTTATTGTAGCATATTTCATGAAGCAATTCATTGCGAGCTGAAAAGTTCTGTTCAGAAACTCCAATGTACTTCTGCTCAAGAGGTACTGGGCGGTAGCTTGAGTCAAAGAAAAATAAGCCTGCCTCTGGATTCACCCTCAGAAATTGTGCAACCTAGGTGTTTCCAAAGGTAAGATGGTTGTCGTCTGAGATTAACTAAACTCAAGAACTCATATTTCTCTTCCATCAAAAATAAGGCTTCCAAATAATAATTTAAGCAAGCTGAAACATGCGAACCTCCACATAATTGGGTAGTGTGGCAGAAAGGCCCACAATGCGAATCATACTTTGTGTGGACTCCACCTGTACAAAATTTCAAAAAACAAATAGTTAGAACCAAATTTGAGATCCACGTTCGCATCCTTCATTGTTGGAAATTGGACATATATATATTTCTTTTTTTGATAGGTAATCACGCAATTTTATAAATAAAATCAAAAGATAATACACAAGGAGTGCATTATCAGTTTAAACAAGACAAAAACGATAAAAAATTCGGCAACCCTTCTATCGGACTAATGATTGCAGCCTTAAACCAACTATACAAAGTCAAATAAAACAATTCTCTAAATTGCTCTGTCGTCCGAATTTGGTCTTCAAAACATCTTCCGTTTCGCTCTCTCCACACACACACACCAAATAATGCATCCTGAAATGAGATCCCAAACAAACTTGCTATTCTTATCTCGAAACTTTCTTTTTCATGCCGACACCACCTCCTTGATACGTCTTGGCAACACCCATCTCATATGTTGCGAAACCAGAATATCATTCCACATCCAACGAACACTATCACAATGAATGAACAAATAATCGATCGTCTCGCCATCCTTCTTACACATATAGCACCACTCCGTAATACAATAGCCCTTTC